TAGTTATCAGACGAATGTACCAGTCAATCTGCCAAGTTGAAAAATACAGGTAGTCATAGGAAATCACCATGTCTAGTTACAGTGATTCGAAGAGAAAGAAACGCGTAGCAATCAAAATTTATTTTTTTATTCTTCACCGGGCTATTGAATATGGTGTCAAGAGACTACCCAATCTATATTTTGCTATAGAGTCAGGTATACTTTTAATAAAGATAAAAACTGAAGTGCTCGAAAATGAAACCGAAACATGAGCACTGAAGCTCATGGCCGAGACCCGTGGACGATGTGTATTAAGGAGGAGGGAGAAATGTAGACGAGGAAATGCCAGAAGTCACGTGGCTCCCGCCGACCGCGTTTTTTTTTCTCTGCTTCTTGGGCGAGTGCAGCAGACAACAACGACGACGAACTTGCGTGCACCCATTATCGTGCGATTGTTTCGCACTCATGTCCCTTCGGCTCGACGTTCTGCGCTTGAAGATCGATTCGCCGGAACTACGAACAACATGAACTGAAGAGCGTTTTGGCAACATTGACTGGCAAAAGAACGAATAAAACAAACTCGGGACGAGGGAAGACGAACATTTCCCAAGTAGCGGCCCCACGTCCATTGCAGTGTTGGTTCGTCGTGCAGCGTCGTATAGCGTCGTCCAGCTACGACGCTATATTGAGAATAACCACTGATCACTATGACTCTTTGCTGGATTCACTCGCGTTCGCCCGCTCCGCGAGTGCGGCCAATGCCACCACGATCGCCCATATTTTTGGTAGTGTTATATTATCTCTAGCCACACCATAATAGTAGGGTGGCGCAATCTACCGCCCGTTAGATAGGGTACACATTTTCCACCCGCAGCTGGCTGAAGGGTGGCAGGGCGACTTCGTGGAAACCTTGGGAACAAATAAATAATTTTTACCCCAGCGTATCACTACGCGCCAGGATAGTCACAAAAACACTGAATGCTTGCCGATGGTAAGTTCTTGTCTTTTCGCGATCTGGGCGATTTAAACAGCGCGCCGCACAACATGACGGCATAATCGACCTTCCTCTGTCGCATCCACTGAGTTTCAAGAATCTGCTTGGTTCGTCGAGCGATTTACATTAAGCACGAAATATCACCCATGGTACAATCTGCTAGACCCACGGCTATCTTTATGGCAGCCTGCCTGCCGCCACAGCGTTGTCTGCCATATTATTATCATGGCTAGAGATGGCCGACCGTGGCCACATTTCTGCGCATAGGCGTATCTGTGCAAACGCGATACAGCAAGTATTCTTAGTATGTTTATACGGCCTGAACTTAGTCTGCGTCAACGGGCGACTTGTCTCTCAGCTCTAGATGAGCAATTTAACTAAGTTCAGTACTACCCCTATAGCCTGGTGTCTTTAACGTACACCAGGCAGTAGTAATGCACGACCTCACGCCGGTACGATGCTCATACAGATTGAGAAGAGCAGGGGTGGGGAAGAATGAGGTGTACATGTAGTACAGAGAGTTTCCGAGGAACGCGAGCCATGTTTTTTCGGCCAGGGCAGCCAAAGTATGCATCCCAGGAAGTCTAACATTCTGTGGAAATGTGACGCTGGCAGTTGAGATAGAAAGGAAAAGTTTTATAACAAGGCATTATCTCGATCAGAAGATAATAAAAAAAAGCAAATGTTCGATATGAGCCGACGTCTACCTATGCCTAATATCGTTAAAACAAGAAATGACACGGTGAGAGCATATCGCATTTATTTCAGTGAAAGGTAAACGGAAGAAATGTTTTCAGCCAGAAAGAGGATGTTGTTTTCTTCGCTGCTGACAATTTGTGTTTCCATTGAATTAGATACTACAAGCGCCTACAGTGTGGTTTCTTGTTTTGACGATATTAGGCTTAACTGGACGTCGGCTCATAGAGAAGATTCATCTTTCTTAATTATCTTTTGAACTACGTGACGTCATGTTCTCGAACTTTCGAGTTCTATTCGAACCGCTAGCGTCACATTCTCACGAAGTTAGAGCTTTCTGCGATGCTTTGTTTATTTACCGGAGCTGAAAAACACAGTTCTCGTTCCTCAGGAACTCCAACCACTTCCTGTTATCTGCTCATATTTTTTTTTTTTTTGTTATCAACGCATTTCCAGTTTTTTGGAGGCCAAGAAAAAGGATTTCACGTACTTTTTCATTCTTAATATTGAATGTCTCCCTTAGATGACCCTCGACTTTGAACATATTTGGTGCACATAGTTTTACCGCCACGTGACCATAGAAAAGAGAGTGAGCGCGACTGAAACCTGCCAATTCTCGAGCGACTGCTTCCGGGCGGAAAGAAAAACAATTTTGAACCACAAATCGTGTTCTGGGTAGGTGGGCTCTCAGGCCATGTTCAAATAAAAACCTCGGCAGGTATTAACACCCTGTCCAAATTATCTGATGTAAATCAAGTAAATCTGAATTACCTAAATATTTCCACCCTGCATGAAATGTATTTTGACGAAATCCTCAATCCAAACGTTTTTTCCGTCCGTCCGTACCTTTCCCATTGAATTTAACAGGAAATTTATGTCGCGTCGCCCAGAAATCAATTTATTGTTCCTATTATAATTTGAAAAAAAAAAAATTTGTTGTCACGTGACCCGACGTCACGAAACCGACACAGAAATTAATTTACTCCGCTAAGTTTAGCGAGAGAATTTATGTCACGTGACCTATAAACCAATTTAGTTTCCTGCTAACTTTTTAAGGGATATTGACTTCACGTGACTTCTGTGCTAAAGTTAGTTTGCCTGTTAGATTTAGAGGAAAAATTAATTAAAAGACAGGTTCTTCTTCACTACCCAAAACGACAGTTTAATGAAGCCATGGGGAATTCTTGCCTTAACTCGCGCGCGTTGTTGGTTTGGTTACATCCATAGCGCAATTAGTAGGTCCAAGTATGTTTTTGAGCCGTCCTATGTATCAGAGAGAAGAAATAATTTAAAAAAAAATTTCCATTTCGCAGCAGAACTGGTGTTCCCGAATGTTCTTTTTTCCCGCTGTCCATTGAAGATTGGAATAACCTGCCAAGGAACATTGTTGAAACGGCATTATCAGAGCTGTTTTTAAAAATATTCAATGTTACCTCTAAATACCGCAGTTCATTACGTCTTGAATAATTGTGTTTCATCTTGTGTTTGTAGTGTACACATTTTATGTATGTGCCCTTCCCCACTATAATGCCTCTTCAGGCGATGTAGGTGTGCAAATAAATAAAAAAACGAATTAAATACGGGTTCCCTCTCTTCCGCCTGTTATCTGTCCAGAGCGTCGGGACGTCATTGAAGGCATCCCAGAGTCAGGTTAATGGTGAGCAAGGTTTAACTGACCTTGCTAATGACGTAACTTTGGCATGGTTTTCTCTCCAGTTTAGCGCTTTCCTACTGTTGACGCGCCGCAATAGGCAAGTTGACGTCGAATTTTCAATTTGCTATTACGACCCTGCTATTTATAAGTTCGAAATAAAATTTAAGCCATAGATGCCTAAACCTCAACATTTACTGTTTGTTTTAATTCAAAAACCTTTTCAGCTCCCTTTTTAAGGGGCACTGGCAGGGTATTTTTGCTCGCCAAGGTTTTATTTGTACATGACATATGAGATCCCAAGTACCGAGAAAAAAAAAACAGTTTGCGGCTCGAAATTCGTTTTCTTTCCGCCCGAAAACCGCCGATCGAGAACTGGCCGGTTTGAGTCGCGCTCACTCTCTTCTCCGCGGTTACGAGCCGTTTTCTATGGTTTCGACACAACCACCAAATATAATCAAAGTCTTAGGTCATCGAAGGCACACACATAATATTAACAATAGAAGAGAAATATGATACACATTTTTGTGGCTTCTAAGAAGCTCTAAATAAGTTGATTAAAAAAAACAAAAAGAAGTTGCACAGCCACGTGATTTCCGCCAATTCTGTCCTCGATATTTTTTCTTGCTCCTCAGTACAGTCTAGGTTTTGGTTTCGAGCAGTGTAGTTTTTTTTTTTATTTTGTTAAAAATATATGTGGCGCTGTAGGAAATTATTGATTCCGTAGTCTTCTAACACAAATAAATCACCTGAAGCCGTTATCGGCGTTGTTTCGCAGCAGATTCCCTGGATGTGAACCATGTAGAGTCGTCGTGGCACGTACCGTCACAAAGTTGCACGACTGCATCGTGTCACATGACGTCACGTGGATCCGAGTCGTTTCTCGGAAAATTTGTTTTCAACCAAAATATAGTGAAGATTTTCCAGAATTTTTATCGTGGAAGCGTACGCAGCATTTCCTGGCTGAAACGTAGAAACCTTTCCATAAATTTAGCGGAAAAGTTGTCCTCTAAATTTGGCGGCTGTGTGCAGCAGAGTTTGTTCAGCAAGCTGTGCAGCACCTCAGTTGTGTCGCGGCAGTTCATGTGCGACGCACGGCAAGGAACCGGGAAATTTAATGTCTCTGCCAGACACGTGGCTGAAATATAGCAACTAAATTCTCATACTCAGTACTTCCTCGAAAAGGAACTAAGTACACTACTCATTACTACGATTCAAAAGAAACGCCTTGTCTCAGCTCGAAGGTAACGCGCTATTTTCTGGTTACTCTGAATCCGTTGTGTTTATGAAACAGCATCAGCTTCCTGTCATTATGATTTCTGGCGTGTGAACGCGCTCATGCGGAGATAACCGTTGCTACACCGACATATCATGGTGCACATCTTTGAATAACCTATCAAGCGTTTTCTCGTTGTGCAAATTACAGGCCCCAGCCGGGGTGAGAACTAGGTTGGACACTGTGTTGTAGACGTCCCCCTCGCCAACTGAACACCGTCACTCGTTACTTCATTAAACAGTAACAAAATTATGCTACTCGGGCTTTCTCCTCAGAAATAACTAAGTCGTTCCTTCGTTTCTGAAAAAAGTACAAAGGTACAAGTCACTCGTTACGTACAATTCCCTGTCCTGGAACCTTTTCTTCATGTTGCAGGTGACGCAGTTTTTTTGCCGGCTTTACAGGTGTGTTCCCTCGCCTTTCTCGGTCTGCGCTTTCCCGATGTGAATCCTTTGGAGGGACATTTGTGGTCGTTAACACGCCTCGGCGATCCTCAAGCCGCCTCGCTGAATTTCATCTAGTTTTCTGCAACTCTCAGGCTGCGTCTTTGTGTTTAAATAAACAAAAATATTACAGAATCGGGAGTTTTTTCTTATGACTTAAGAGATTCAACGTACCCTTGCCAGAAATATCACAGTTTCGTAGGGGACGAAATCATTTGACGTTTTATCCGTTGAATTTCCGCCGCTTACGTACTACTCAAATCAGTTTGCACACTTTCCTGGAGGTCCGACATTATCGTGACAACAATAATTTTGACGAAAATAATCCCTGGAGAAGGGGAACAAGAGGGACAGAGGACAAAAACAAATCTCCAAACACAGCTAGGTGACTGTTGAGCGACCGAAAAAATCCGCCTGGTACGGGTATGGAACCCGGAACCGATATCCGGACCAGGAGGATTTTTTCTGGTCGCGCACCAGTCACCTAGTTGTAACAATAATAATAACGGTATATGGTTTATTTTCGGATGCGACGAAGTAGGATTTGGGTCTGCCGAAGCCAGAATTGGCTTGTGTGGCTAAACCACCAGTAGTAAAGTTATAAATCAATTAATTTCAACATTGTGAAGAGTGCATCAGCACATAAGACACACAAACACACGCACACAAGTTTTAAGAAAAAATAACATTGAAGCATTGGTAAAGTTAGAGTCCAGAGTTGATGGTATGTGGATAGTCGCATTACATGAAGAACACGCACACATACATCGAAATATTAAAAAAATGAAGCACAGGTCCATGTCAAGCTGCCACGGTACTTGAGTTGTAATAAAACTCCCATCACTGGCCTAAGAAAAAAAATATTTAGAGCACAGTTTAAGACGTCCAGAAGATGAATCTGGTTCGTGCAGGCACACTTGATTTAAATTAGGTCTCGTAGGGCTTGTTTCAACTTTTTTTTTCGAATCCAGGTCCCACACTCTTTCAGGGAGACTGTTGAAAATGTCCGGTACATGGTATATTCCCCAGGTAGCACGCCAGAGGAATGCCCAACTTGGGCAAAGGTCTGGCAAACATAAGGGCCCAACTTTGGCGCAGTTAGGTTTTTGCACCATGGCATTCATCAGTGCCAAAGTACGGTGCCTAACTATAGCCTTAGTTGGGCGATCCTATGGCATGCCAAAGTTTGGCTCTTCTCCGGTACGCCAGAGGAGTGCCAAAGTTGGAGCCATACTTGAGCCATAACTGCCATAGTAAGTCCTAATCTGGGAATTCGGGGCGTGCCAAGGTTTGGCATTTCTCTGGTCTGCCAGAGGAGCGCCAAAGTTGGTGCCATACTTCAGCCATAACTGCCAGAGCAACGCCTAATTTCGGTATTTGGGACGTGCCAAGGTTTGGCGTTTCTCTGGTCCGCCAGAGGAGCGCCAAAGTTGGTGCCATACTTCAGCCATAACTGCCAGAGCAACGCCTAATTTCGGTATTTGGGACGTGCCAAAGTTTGGCTTTTCTCGGGTCCGCCACAGGATTGCCAAAGTAGTGCAATACTAGAGCTATAACTGCCAGAGCGATGCCCAATTTGGGTATTTTGGACATGCCAAAGTGTGGCGTTGCTCTGGTCCGCCAGAGGAGCGCTAAAGTTGGTGCCAGATTTGAGCCATAACTGCCATAGTAAAACCTAAACTGGGAATTCGGGGCATGCCAAGGTTTGGCGTTTCTCTGGTCCGCCAGAGGAGCACCAAAGTTGGTGCCATACTTCAGCCATAACTGCCAGAGCAACGCCTAATTTCGGTATTTGGGACGTGCCAAGGTTTGGCGTTTCTCTGGTCCGCCAGAGGAGCGCCAAAGTTGGTGCCATACTTCAGCCATAGCTGCCAGAGCAACGCCTCATTTCGGTATTTGGGACGTGCTAAGGTTTGGCGTTTCTCTGGTCCGCCAGAGGAGCGCCAAAGTTGATGCAATATTTCAGCCATAACTGCCAGAGCAACGCCTAATTTGGGTATTTCGGACACGCCAAAATTTGTTTTTTTCTGATACGCCACAGGAGTGCCGAAGTGTGCCATACTTGAGCCATAACTACCAAAGCAACGCCTAATTTCGGTATTTCAGCCTCGCCGAGTTTGGCTTTTCTCTGGTCCGCCACAGTTGTGCCAAAGTAAGTGCCAGACTTGAGCCATAACTGCCGCAGTAAATCTTAATTTGTCGATTCGGGGCATGCCGAAGTTTGGCTCTTTCCTGGCTACCCACTGAAGTGCCAAGTAAGTGCCAAAAGTGGCAAAGAAAGCCGAGAGGCCAGCCCAAGTTTCGAATATCTCTGGTGTGTCACAGAAGTGCTCTTTTACGCGTCCCAGAAGAGAAATAAAATAAATAAGCGTTGGAAGCACGATAGTAAGATGTCATCACCTCCGTTCCCAAGCAGCACGGCAATACTTTGCAGTATCGTGCCAGTGCCGGCCGAAAGTCGGTTCCAATATCGCTCAACTGTCCAGTTTTGCACCACTGTTTGATACCCGGCAGGTATTGCCGTACAGCTGTTTCGCCCCGGCCTAGCGTTCACGTAATATTGTGCGAAAACTCTACGATGCGTCTGCTTCGTATTGGCCGAACGTCGTGCAAGTATGTGTACGTTGCATGTCATTTGTTGCATATCCAATCACTTATACGGACAAACAAATTTTTTCGATCGCTCCCAGAAGTTTATTAAACAACTATCATTACACACAGTGTATTCTCAACATATTTACAAGGTCACACTTCTCTGTAAAACGAAAAGCAAATTATAAAATACAATTAACACTGTCCTCATGCCAAGCAAAACTCATCACACGTAAAACCGCGGAGAATGAAAGGAAAGCAGGACGACTATCAGAATCATGCTTGCAGTGCACTTACTAATAAAAGAGCGATATCATGTAATCCTTGAGATGCATAATCCAACTCAGGCACCCCACAAACACATTCGAGGAAGAAGGTTGCGCACATTCAACTGACGTCTCGTCGTCGGCGAAGAGCAGTTTTTGTCGAAGCGTGTCCAGCAAACACATCACCAGTATTCCACGAACTCCGGTGCAAAAAATGACTGTTACCGAAAAATTGGCATGGACTTATTCCGACCGTTTACGACGAAAAAACACGGCCGCGTCTGCAACGCACGAAAGCAACAGAACACTGAAGAGCCCAGTTCGAAAACCGGACCTACGTGGCCTGCTTATTTCTATAACAAGGCAAACGGCGAAAACAACAGCCCCAGAGATCCCATCAGCGTGACAGAGAAAGTCACGTGACAAATTTTCGTCCAAACGTTTTTGTCCTACGCGTCTTATGTAGAGAGATCACGCGAGTCACGCGTTTCGCTTCATCCTTTTGATTTGCTTAAAGCGGCTGTCGAGCACGCTGACAGCCACACGAAGACGCAAAACCAGGTGGGGAGGATTTGCAAAAGGCGAGGTCGAAGGGGCATCAACAACGCATAAAAGGAAAGGCCGCTTCTGCCGGTGACCTTGTCGCCTTGCCTAGCCTGTCAGCGTTCGGCTTCAAGTCCGAACTCGTCGACCCGCATGGACGTCAGGACACCAATTTGACATTGACAAGGCATCGACCTTGGAGGGGGATAAAAGGTGGGCACCGAGGAAGCTGCTGGAATCTTGGTTCATCCAGAACGAGAAACGCGGAAGTGATTCATCGCTGGTAAACAAGAACCGTGGCCCCCTGCCGGACGTGTACACAAACTTTATGCCTAAATAGCCGAACTTTTTTGTGCGACTCTCACTCGCTCTGTGCTCTACTGAAGATGCCTCCCGCATTGGAGGCGCAACGTTTAATTAAATTGTTATTTTTGTTATGTCAAGCCGTTTTTGTTATTACATAAATTAGGAGCGCAACCGGGACATTTTCTCCCGTGAATGACGATCGGGTGCTTGGACTCCGAAGCAGCTCTTTCGGCGTCCATTTGATGTTCTCGGAGTCGGTCGCTGAGGCATCGCCCCGTTTGCCCGATGTACCTGGTCCCGCAGGACAGGGGGATCGCGTACACTTCCTTCGCTTCCTCTCCTTCCGCCAAGATTTCTCTTTCCGGTACTCCCACGGAGCGGGCGGGTTTCGAGGTTGAAGCCGAAAATAAAGTTCGCTCTTTCCACTTGTTTTTGCGTTTCCTCCTCTCCTGCCCTCCTTTCCTCCCTTCACCGCCCTCCCCCGAGGGGCCAACGCGGAGAATGGATTAGGAGACGCCTCCGTTAATCCGGCATAACCCGCCGTAGAGGGGGCGTGCTGCTTGACTAAAAATTATCTCGCTGCACAAAAAAATAAAAAAAATAAAAAAATAAAAAACGTCGCGGGCAGCGATTTAATGCGCTTTGCCGGATGCGTAACGCTTCGCCCGCCTTGGACAAGCTGGGATGCATTGGACTAACATTTTTCGAAGCGCGGCAGGTTTAGTGTAGGTCCTATCATAATGGTCCTGCAAGACTTCCCTGTCCGCCACAAGCTAGCCAATAATTCAAGGACATAACGACGGCAGCGTATTCAAACAGTGTAAAATAAAATGTATATAATATTTATACACCAACTCATGTTTACAAACAAACCGGAGCGCCCCTAGCGGACGCCACCGGCGCCGCGCATGCGCGGTGGATGGTGGGCAAGAAGCCCGCCGTCGCCCATAAACAAACCATTAAATTGCGTTGTTGTCGGCGTCGGTGGAAGTCCCCGTGCTCTTTTTCGCGTTGGAATTGTTGATGCTACGTCCTACTAACAATGTCTGACTACTCGAGCGGCTTCAGCAAAACTAACGAGGCCAAACTTTGCGTGAATAATGTGACGTGCGACGATTATTTCACGTGGACGCCGAAGAATGGGCGCTAAAGCCTGACTCCCACAATGAGATTCTGCTCGCTGTTTTCAGACGCGACGTTGCTCGGACTGCAAAAGCGTGGGCCGTAGCTGAGACGGTGGACGTCAATACAGAAAACCGCAAGTAGAATCGGGCATTACAAGTCGGTGATGGCCACCGGTAACAATAACGATAA